AAATAGATATTATATTCAAATAAATATTAAGTATTTTTTTTTAAAAAGACTTATTAGAAAATATAGGTGGATGGTAATGTGCCATGGAATGTTTTTAGCATTAAAATGTTTGCACTCATCATTGTAAATATATACTTTTATCGAATTTTCATCATGGATGTCTTGACAATAAATCTGTCATATCTTTGTATAATAATAGTAACAATAACGTGCTTATATGCACTTATTATGTACATGATACAACAATAACAACATATAGTAAAATATAGATACAACAATACAATATATTGTTAAAAATATTGTACAGTTCAATCATAGACTCATAGTGATTGTAACCTAATGTATTACATTGACAGACAATTATACAATATTATTTACTGAAGGGATGTAATGTTGCTATCGAGTATTTCAGAGAAGATTAATAAGTTTACCTTAAAGCTTCGTACTTCAAAAAGTGTATGATCATTTTTCAAATACCAAATTATGATGAATGATGAATGATGAAAGTATTAGAAGGATTAGCAACCAACATCTATTCATTTATATATACTCATGTAACTTGTAATACATTACTTTACAATTAGTATGCATATTTAATACATGCTATTATAAAATACAACTGCATAATATTTGTAACAGTATTTTTAACAATGCCTAAATTTCAAACTAAAAATGATGTCTGGTTTATGTTACAAAATATGTATTTTCTTTGTGCTTTTTGTTATGTATAATTTCAGCTTTAGTACCTTGTAGAAATTTACAGTTTAGCAAGGTATATGCAAGCTTTGTATAATGTTTCTTTTAAAACAAGGATTTCTTTTCGCTATAAAATATTTATGTAATTTTAATTTGCATAAATATATATAAAAACAACTATCTTTTATGTAGTATGATAGATTTTAGAAACTAAAGATTTGAAACTTTAAATAGAATGATTTTTTAAATTATTTTTATACTGTATACATATAATGTTCAGACCATACAACTGTGTTTATGTTACAAACAGAACAAAACACTGTCATATTAGGAATCATTCTTAATCTCTGTTGAGTCTATATTTTTTTAAGGACTAGTGTGTGGCTGGAATTCATCAGTTGACTTTCAATGGTACATAGCTTATAAGTTTCCATAACAATTGACATTATAAACACACACACAAACTCAGAAATACTATACATATATATATTTCTCTATTTCTCTCTGCGCGCGCGCGCGTGTGTCGCATGGATATAAAACAGAACGAGCTTAATGTAATTTTTAATGTATGTTTAGCAATTAATCTGGAAGATCATTTATGGGAGTTTTTGTAGAAATACCGCTTGGGCATAGTGTAGCTAATTGATTCTCTCTACGAAGAAGCAATAATGTTGATTCTCGACTGGTCCTATGACGTAGGGTACGATTAGGAGCAGAAGGTGTGGGGATGAAGATCTTAAATTTTGATTAAAGACTTCTTAACTGTAAAACTTAAGGGGAGAATCCAGTTTGACAGTCTGAAGAATAAGTGATCTTTAACCATTTCTTTGACTAAACTAGTAAAAATATCGTAATACAGTAGTGCCGCGTTAGCTAGCCGAGTTTTTGCCTTGTTAGCTGACCATCGTTATCTTCACCAATTCTTAGAACTTGCTTTGTGGAGTGGCTTCGTTGACCTCGATATTTTGTAACAGGTATCCATATCTCACTGGCACTCAATGGAGAAGGAACATACCCGGGGTTTCCTAGAATTCTACCCCCTTGATAGTTGGCCAGATGTGGTCCTGACTACGATCAGCTAACGCAATACTATTGTACTTTTTTTTTTTATAGAAAAGGGCATCCTTAAACTGCAATACAAAAATTTTATTCAATGTAATTTTTAATATTGTTATTGTAAATTTTATATTTTTAAAAAAAAGAAGATTTTGCATTGTTTATAAAAATATAAATATAGATAAAATATTGCTTATCGGTTTAATCCCTGTAGAAAGGTATATAGAATTGAATAGACTTTATCCGAAGTTGATCGGTCGATTACATTTTGAGTTATTCTGCACGTCAACTTGAAAAATATTCTTTCGACAACAATGCGTTTAAACTTGGAGCCCCTGATAGTTTAAAGCCCTGACACATCTCCACAAGTGTGTTTGTAACTTTGTTATTTTGACTCTTTTTAACTGGATTCAATCCTTAAAACATTGGTGATCCAAAAGCATGAGAAACGTGTTGTATAGCTATAATTATTCAGACACTACCTTGGACTGGTTATTGGATACAATCAATCTAGAATAAAGAGTATGATCAAGGTAATTATAAAATGTAGGCCTTGGATATAGATTAATTTCATAGAAGAATAATGAAGTTACAGGAGGTAAACAGCAATCTGAAAGCCACAGTGAAACTTAGTAAATCAAAACAAATTTTCTAGCGAAAAGAGCAACAATTGCGCAGACCGTTGACCTGCATTTATTTTACAAAATTCTTAGCCATCGTAGGTTTATTATATAGATGCGATTTGTGGAGCTAAATAGGGCACCAAGACGGTGTGATTTGTAGCTTGGCCAGAGACCTTGGAGATGCACAGCAAGCGAGAGGACCCAGCGGTTTAGATATTATGTATCTGCTGTGTATATCACTGTAGCAAAGGAAATGGAATAGATATTGACGGAAGAGCTCGGAGCAAAATTGTGTTATAATGGATACGAAAAGGGATTTCGTTCACCTGAGAATTTTTAATTATGTCACAGTACTAGTTACCTAGACGACTCAAATGTCTCAAATATAAAATGACCGACGGAATTCTTAAAAAGCACATACACGTGCTTCTTGTATACACAGTGCCGTCCATAACGTAATCCCAGTTTTGTGGTCTAAACATATGATAAAAATAAACACGTACGACCGCAGATTATGAAAAATAAATAAAGTTCATCTCATTTTTAAGTAAAAAATCTTTCATTCTAATTATAATAGTACATATCTTATATGTAAATATTAATTGTATTCAATTCTACAAAATATAAACCTATATAAAAGTTGTATTTAAAAAACAATGGAATAGAATTATTATGATTTATAATCAATTTTTTCATTCAACTTAACGAAGATGAAAATTTCTTCATCTTAATGGTGTGCCAGTAAAAATTTGTAGTGAAAATTGTTCCCATGATCGCTTTCTTTTACTTAGGACATAATTTAAAAACGAATTTTTCCTTGTTGAATCTGTTCATAAATTTCAGTGGTTATCAACTGGTATCCCGACTTTTCGCTTAAGTAGTACAATTTGTCTTGTACCCTTTTTGGATCATATCCACCTTCTATAAGATCTTTTTTTTTCAATTTAAATGTACCTGAAATAATGATTAAAAAAAAAAAACATTTTTTGTTAATAGAAT